GAAGCTGATCCTGCTGCAGGGCCACGAGCGCTCCATCACTCAGATCAAATACAACCGCGAGGGAGACCTGCTCTTCACCGTGGCCAAGGACCCCGTGAGTGCGGCTTCCCCCCCACCACGTGCACAAATATTGAGATTGTTTTTGCCATATTTCATAAAAACGGGGGATTTCTGACTGTTTTCTCCCCGCAGATTGTCAATGTGTGGTATTCGGTCAATGGGGAGAGGCTCGGCACCTACAACGGGCACACTGGAGCCGTGTGGTGTGTGGATGCCGACTGTATCCTTTGCTTGTCCCTATCTGGGATTTTCTCTCAGCTGTGCTGCTTCCCAACGGGAGCACCGGGATGTTGCCCTGCGGTTACCTGCCCTGCGGGTTTTGTTTCCCCTTGCTCCCCACTGTGAGTTTTTCCTTCCCTCCAGGTGTTTTTTGGAGCAGTTTGCAGGGATGAGCAGCGGGTGCGCGCCGCTCTCGCTTGAGCTTTGCTGCTTTTGCTGACGGGGCCCTGGGAGATTTGGGAGGGTGCCTGAGACCTGCAGATCTTCTATCCCTAGTGCCAGTGGCAGATAACGGAGATGGAAGTGTGCAAAAATTGTGTTATTATGGGGGAACAGGAACCTTTTTCTTTAATACTTCAGGTAGAAAAGTTTGGGGGTTTACAGTAGGAGCGCTTGGACTCGATACCTGTCTGTACTGAGCTAGAGCTGGGGTGGGAGCTGCTCAGTCTGCAGTTTCTCTGCATAACGGTGCATTCACCCTGTGTGTAACTATCAGCTGCCCATGTAGAGCAGAGTGTGTTGAGGTTCCCTAACTGGTGACGCAGGGGACACGCGCCACGTGCTCACGGGCTCTGCAGACAACAGCTGTCGGCTCTGGGACTGCGAGACAGGTAGGAGCCTCTCCCGGTTCCGGGAAGTTCTGCTGCCACCACGGGCTCCAAGGGGACATGGGCTCATTTAACCTGCTGAAAGACACCTCGGTCCCAACTTTGCCCATTTGGGGAAAGCATTTGCTTCTGTTCTGGGTTTCTAAAGAGTTTTTAATTAATTTACTCATCTCGCTGCCCGAGTAGTTGCTGCGCAGTCAGTGCTTGCAGGTTGCTGAACCTGCTTGTCAGCATGTTGGGTGCTTGCAGCCTTCCCCAGCCTTGTGTTAAACTGCTTGTTTTAATTGATCTTTAATTAATCTTGACGTGAAAGCCCTGGTGAGGTGGTGTGCTCTGCCTTGTGCTTAGGGAAGCAGCTTGCGCTGGTGAAGACGAGCTCGGCCGTGAGGACGTGTGGCTTTGACTTCGGAGGAAACATCATCATGTTTTCCACGGATAAGCAGATGGGATATCAGTGTTTTGTGAGCTTCTTCGACCTTCGGGACTCCAGCCAGATCGGTAAGGAACTCGAGCAATTCCCTGGAAAGGGGAATTACTGATGGCTGGAGCTGGTGCCATTCCGTCTGTCCGTCTCCTTCCTTCCCACAGAGAAAAATGAGCCGTACATGAAAATCCCCTGCAGCGACTCCAAGATCACGAGCGCCGTGTGGGGCCCCCTGGGAGAATTCATCATTGCGGGACACGAGAGCGGAGAGCTGAACCAGTTCAGTGCCAAGGTCGGTGTGATCAGAGCCCTGA